TATATATATATATATATATATATGTATGTATGTATGTATGTATGTATGTATGTATATATTTTCGCACAAGGAGTAATTGTATAGAGGGTATAAAATAAGGTTGAAAATAAGGTCCCACAAACTGTCGAGGACGAAATGTTTTTTAATTGTTTTCTGAATTTTCTTTTCCACTTTTCTTTCTTTCTTTCTTTTTTCTCTTTCACATGTATGTGTTGTTTGTCTGTTTTAATTGTAAAATTAATAAAGTTTATTTTTTAAAAAAACGTGTAAATCAAGTCATAAGACAGAAAAACATACTAAGGAGAATTTTGCATTTTTAGCAGCTGCACAATATAGTATCTGATAGGATTTCATCTGGAAGCATCTTTGTGTGAAATTAAGAGGTTTGAAACATTTTAACTTTAAAAAAATAATGGTTTAATTTGGGGTTCTACTTAGACCATCAATAGGTCATCACATATATTATGGTGATCACAGGTACAAGTTGCTGATTCCCAATTTTATGTGGTCCTTAAAAGATTCAGATGTTGATGTACTAGTTCATGTAAGGAGGTGATTGATATGTTGACAATGATAAAATAACCACTAAAAATCAGCATATCTTTATGAATACAATTAAAGCAATTTCATTTCATTTTTTGTTGGATAATTTCATTAATAGAATGTGGAACATAATATATCTTGATCTCATTTAGATATTTGATAAATACTTTCTTACAGTCTCTCCAGCAGTTTAATTAAATGAGTAGATAATTAAGTGGATCATAACAATCTGGAAAATTGCATTCAAATTGTATATAAATAAGGATATCAGAAATACTCTGTTTAAAAAAATTGTTTTTTAAAAATCAGGAAGGATCAGAAGCTGGGAAGTATCTATACAATTTAGTCCCTATTACCCTCATTTTTATGTTTTATTCAGCATATATTAGTTTTATCTACCTTTATATAAGACTGATGGAGTAACAAATCTCTTTGATTTTAACTTCTTAAACCATCTCAAATTCATTTTGTACTCAATAATCTAATGTGGTTGACAGGTAAAGTAAAGAAAGAAGTTGATCATGATGACAATCACTTACACTTGGATGAAACAACTAAATTATTACAAGACCTTCATGAGGTACAGACCGACCGAATAGGATCCAGGCCTTCTTCCAACCTTAGTTCCCTCTCTAATGCTTCTGAAAGGGAACAACATCACCTAGGTAAATATATTTAACAGTATAATTACCAAACTCTTTTCATTTTCATTAAAAGTTGTTTGTAAGATTATGAGGGTATCAAGTATATTCATGTTGTGTAAGTAAAGCTGGTTTCTTTGTCTTTTTAACATCTAGCATCTAATAAATTAATATTCTTTCTCATTCCCACCTTCCTTATCTCATAGATTTTTTTATCATAAATACATATTAGAAATATTTCAAAAGGTAATATATTAAATAAATACATATTGATAAATTTGACCAAAATGCAGATAATTATGTATTTTTATTTAAAAATAGATTTAATATTATTTTACCAAGTTAATTGAGATGGCCCCCTCAATTCCAAATAGACATTTTAAGTTTATAAACATTCAAACAAAATTATTGGTAATATAGAGATATATAAAATATGTTATAAAAGTTATATTTTATAGTAAAACAGTTTATTAATCTTGGAGTTTATTATTCATGGATAATTCCTTCATTCCAGAATGCTACTGAAAAGTTTCTCCTTCTAATGATTACTGGCTCACTTTTAATAAAGAAAGTAAACACGTTAGATGAATGGAATGGTAAATTTAATTATGAGGCAGAACCTTTCAACAGAAGAAATGCTGTAGTGATCTTAATGTGACCTGCCTGCTAAATCTCTGAGAGCATTTATTTGTATAAAAATTGAAATAGTAGACCAGAACTTCTCCAGTCACCTTTCAATCATACCTATGTAGAAACAGCATAGCCATCTACCAGTCAGGGCATTTATTGTTATATGTCTGACTGGAGAAATCCTGGTCTGCCAACATTTTTTGACCATCAATAAAATTGGCATTATAATCTGGATCTTACTCATTTAAAAATTGTGATAAGACATTTGAAAAAATGAAATTTTCAAAGTGTCTCATAATTAATATTAATTTTCTGTCCATGTTTTACACAGGAAGCCCATCTCACCTAAGTATAGGAGAACAGCAAGATATGGTCCATGACCCCTATGAATTTCTTCAATCTCCAGAATCTACAAATGCCAATAATTAATCTCAGATATACTGTACATATTAACTGTATAACAGTTAATAGAATCCCATGAAACAGTACGCATTCTAACCCCAACCTTCAAATAAGAATTAATGTTTAGTAACATGTATACATTTTGGTCGGATAAAAAACGTCATGGTATTTGTACTATCAGAAACTATATTTTAACAGTATGTACAGTGGATCTGAAGAAGTTTCAAATTATGTACTTTAAAAAGAAACTTGTTTAATTTTATAAAAAATGGTTAACCGGCTGTTTATCATGTTTTTGATTGTTACACATACTTGGTGTACAACTGTAGCTATATAGAAAATTTGCTAGTGTAAATTTATTTCATTTGTAATGTAAGTTTTAGAAATAAGATAGTTTTCGTATTTTCCCTCCTGTCAGTTTTTCATTGTCAAGATGGCCTGATGAAAAGAAAGTTATTGACTCTTCATTGGGAATGAAAAACAAAGTATTTGTTAGAACTGTTTAAAATTAAGTGTTTGAAATTTGACATTGAATTATTTTTAAACATTATGTGGAAACCAGAATAATACATTCTTTAACAATATTCCAAACATTAATAAATGTGTACTTGTGTTCTGAAATTTCCAGTTCATAATTTGTCAGCTAGTTCATAATTTATAATTTTGAATTAATTATGATGCTCTGTATATGCATCAGTTTAAGGTTGTAGTTTTAAGATTCCTATAGCAGAGGTCTCAAACATGTGGCCCAAGAGCTGCATGCAGGGTGCTGTATTTTTTTATATAGCCTACATTAACTCATCCTCAAGCATTGCTTCTCTGCTCTTTTTTTTGTCTCGGAAGGCCCCAGCTTTCTTTCATTGTCCTGTTTTGCAGGATTTCTTTTTCCCACTCTTCATATGGGTTGGGGCAGTATTTTTGTAAATCTTATGTGCATCTATGATGGCACTGGTGATGATTCTAGATATTGGTTAGGATGGCTCTCACATGGAGAGCCAGAAAGTGCATGTCAATGCAGTATGTGTATACACAGAACAACATAGTGGCTGAGGTATGCAACAATATAAAAATTAAATGGGGAAGATCAAAATGCATCTGCTTCATTTTTTCTTGCTACAAGAACCCATCACTAAACAATCTTTTACTGCTTTACAATAAGTAGCAAATTTCTATTCCTATAAAAATGAGTAATATTTTAATTTAATTTAAATAATTAATATATTTTATTTTTATTTAATAATGCATTTTAATATTTGTTGTCTTTTTCCTTTTTAAATATGTGGCCTAAACTCAGTGCATTTTATGTAAGGTACACCCATATTCATTTTGTTTGAGATCCCTCCCTTGGAATTTAGATAATGCTTGCTTACTGACATTTAATTGGGACAGATTCTGTTTGCTAATCAACACTGGCATAAACACAGTATCACGTAACTATGCTAAGTTACAATGACAGTTCCAGTAATCCCATTTGTCCTTGTTAAGCAAATTCTGTGTAATCATTGCATCTCCTGGTCAAATCATTGCTATTTGCAACTTTCTTCCAGCTTCCCCATTGACTCTTTGTTCAATCAGAATAGAGCTGTAAGAGACCTTGGAGGTCTTCAAGTCCAACCCTCTGCTCAAACGGGAGACCCTATACCATTTCAGATAGATGGTTGTCCAGTCTTTTCCTTAAAACCTCGAATGATGAAGTACCTACAACTTTTGACAGCAAGCTGTTCCACTGGTTAATTGTCTTAACTGTTTCTCCTTAATTCCAAATTGCTTCTCTTGTTGATTAATTTCCATCCATTGTTTTTTGCCTTGCCTTCTGTGCTTTGGAAAAGAAGTTGATCCCCTCTTCTTTGTGGCAGCAAATACTGCTTTCATGTCATCACTAGTCCTACTTTTCTCTAGACTAGCCATACCCAATTCCTACAACCGTTCTTCATGGGTTTTTGTCTTAATCATCTTAGTTCCTCCTTGCACTTTTTCCAAAGTCTCAACATCTTTTTTATAATGTGTTGACCAAAACTGGATGCAGTATTCCAGGTGTGATCTTACTAAATATGTATAAAGTGGTACTAATACTTCATGTGATTTTGATTCTATACCTCTGTTTATACAACCAAGGATTGTATTAGCTTTCTTGGCTGTTGCACACACTTTTGGTTCATGTCCAAGTGATTGTTCACTAGGATTCCAAGGTCCCTCTCACAGTTACAGAGTTTTTGAGCCAGGTTTCCCCTAATCTGTACTTGTATCTTGGTTTTTCCTGCCTAGGTGTTGGAACCTGGCACTGAAGATTGCCAATAGTAATTGTGACTATTGAGATGCTGTGATGTGTAATTGCATTCTGATTGCTAAGCATCTGAATTACAATCTCATAGCCTCAGAGGCCAATCAAAGTACCCCTTATGTATTTACTACTGTCATAACCTTAGACAGTCACTGAATGAGTGTACATTAAATAAGGAGTACTTGTATGAAGTTTTCATTCATGCTGTAAATCTTTAAGACAGATGTATTTACTTATTAACAGTGTTGGGATTGAACACCCTGTAAATTCATTGAATTTATGGCAGGCTTTGTTGGAGTGTCAGGGTTCCATGTTGGACAAGAAGTCATTGGGGGAAATTGAGTTGCTGAATGTTTAAGAGGTGAGAAAAATGGGAATAAGGGAGCAGACCTGACCATTCCAATGGTGGTGGGCAGAGAGAGAGATATGGTCACAGGCTTTCAGAGACTTAGCTTTGTAGATAGTTAAATGTGAACAGTGTCATTGAAACTGGGATTAAGAAAACAATTGGAATTGCTGCTGTGTGCTGTCATTCCTACTGCTTCGTAGCATCCTGCCTAAATTGCTATATTCTATTGCCAGGTTGGCAATAGATAAAATAATAATACTGGTCTTATTAAGTTACTGATACTGTTAGCTGTACTCTTCTGAGCCAGCTCTGTGGGCTGGGATTTGGACACCTTTTTGCATATAATATTCTCCCATACCTTTTTACACACAACATCTATATTTGATAGACAAGCATGCAAACTTGGTTTTATGTTGAGGGATATTTTATGATCACCACTGGTTCCGCATTGACTATAAAAGATTTCATGGCAAACTCAGAAATTTTTATTCTCCAGTTCTTTAACCCTGAGCACAAAGATTGGCTTACACAATTAGCTAAGGGAGGCTACATGGCAGTGAAGAGTTAGAAATCATATATATCGAGAGCTACAACCTGAGAAACACAGAAATCATGTTTAAATCTTAGGCTTTCCCATCTTTTCAAGTCAATAATTGGCTTAACTGGGTAAAAGACTTACAGGTATGATTCAGATAGATTAGAATCTTTATTGCAAGCAAGAATAAAGCATGATATCTTTGGAGATTCTCAGTCATCCAGGTCACTATTGTTTCAAATATGCTTTTTCAAGAGGCAACTTTCTTGTTTTTCTTTGAAGGTGTTTCACTTCTCATCCAAGAAGCTTCTTGAATAAGACACAAACTGAGCAATGTGGTATATGCAGTATAGTGCAGTGAGATGTGCAGATCTGTATATTGAGAGGGGTGGTGGAAGCAACCACTTCATAAACATGTGGCCCAATGTAGAACAAATATATCAGGACAAGATTCAGCAACGCAGCTGAACACTACCCAGCTGAACCTGAGACTTCCAGACTCCTGGGTTGCTGGGATAGGTCGCTGGTTTCTCACTGCTCCTAGAATTCCTGATTTGTCATACTATGTCGCTGGTTCACTGTCCCTTAGCTAGGCTCCTGGGTGGGATGCCGGGCTGGTTTGCTGATTTGTTGCTGCTCAGCTCTGCCTTTCAGTTGGGTTCCTAGGCTGCCGGGCTGGATCACTTGTTTGCTGTGATCCATCTGGGCTGTTGGGCTGCCTAGCTGAATTGCTGGTTCACTACCTCTCAGCTGGCCTGCTGCCTTGAATCTCTGGGCTGTTGGGCTGCCAGGTTGGGTTGATGGTTCACCAGGCAGCCTCTCATTTTGACTGCCTCTCATTGCCTTGAATCTCCAAGCCTCCAGCTGCCTTGAATTTCTGAGCTGCTGAGCAGGGACAATGGGTCACTGGATAGCCTCTCAGGTGGGCCACCACCAACTTCTTCTCAGTGTGCAGCCAATCGTTCATTTTGCCATTGTTTTGCTAGTATTTTCCCCCCAAAACTTTTCTTCTTCTTTTCCCTTCTCCCATCTACCTTTTTTTTAATCTTCCTGCTTCCTTTTCTCATATAGAATATAGCAAGGACTTGGAGGTCTTCTAGTCCAATCCCCTGCTTAGGCAGGAAACCCTAACCCCAACCCTTTCAGACAAATGGTCGTCCAGTCTCTTCTTAAAAACTTGCAATGTTGGAGCATTCACAACTTCTGGAGGCAAGTTGTTCCACTGATCAATTGCTCTATCAGGAAATTTCTCCTTAGTTCTAGGCTTCTCTCCTTGATTAGTTTCCATCCATTCCATTGCTTCTTGTCCTGCCCTCTGGTGCTTTGGAGAATAGCTTGACTCCCTCTCCTTTGTGGCAGCCCCAGAGATATTGGAACACTGCTATCATGTCACCCCTAGTCCTTTTCATTAAACTAAACATACCCAATTCCAGCAACCGTTCTTTATATGTTTTTGCCTCCAGTCCCCTAATTATCATTGTTGCTCTTCTCTGCAATCTTTCTAGAGTCTCAACATCTTTTTTACATTGTGGCGACCAAAGCTGGATGCAGTATTCCAAGTGTGGCCTTACCAAAGCATTATAAAGTAATATTAAGTTCACCTGATCTTGATTCTATCCCTCTAGAAGCAGCCTAGAACTGTGTTGGCTTTGGGAGGGGGGGCAGCTATAGCACACTGCTGGCTCATATTTAAGTCCCTTTCACAGGGACTACTATTGAACGAGGTACCACATATACTGTATCTTTGCATTTTGTTTTTCTTGCCAAAATGTATACCCTTACTTTTTTAACCATTGAATTTCATTTTGTTAGATAGCACCCAATGTTCAATTTTGTCAAGATCCTTCTATATCTAGATTAAGCCTATCTTCTGGAGTGTTGGCTATTTCTGCCAGGTTGGTGTTGTCTGCAAATTTGATGAGTTCCCCATCTATCCCCTTGTCAAATCATTGATGAAGATGTTGAAGAGTACTGGGTCTAAAACAGCAGCTTGGGATTCCCCACTGCATACTTCTCTCTTTGTAGATGCAGTTCCATTGAGGACTACACGATGAGTTGTAATTGGCCAGCCGGTTATGAATCCATCTGGTGGTGATGCTGTCTAATCTACATTTTTCTATATTATCAAGTAGTACATTATGGTCTATTTTTATCAAATGCCTTACTGAAGTCCAAGTAAATTATATCCACAGCATTCCTCTGGTCTAATAATTTTGTCACTTTGTCAAAGAATGCAATAAGATTTATCTGGCATGATCTGTTTTTGACA